ACCATTTGCTTACAGGGAAGAAGATAGGTGCACTCTTCTAGATAATATGGAATTCGGCAACACCGAAACAATTATATATTATTTTTTAAGTGGAAAAGGTACAAAACTGGTAACAGAGTTCTTACTATGTTTAAAAGCCCAAATTTGGGTGGCAACTGTTAATAGCCTTAGAAAGTGCACAAGTGATAGGGTCAAAGGTGTAGCATGTGTTTTAATTTTGATTGTGAACTGCATTTGAGATTTGACAATTGGGTTGAGGTCGGATTTTGATACCAATGAATCCCGAGTTATGATGTAAATGCTAGATTTAATTATTATCAACAACTAAATTCAAATGTTCGGCCCAAAAACAAGGTGGCTTTCAATCCAAAGGCAAGACCGTTGGAAGTAGCTTAAAAAATTAATGTTGCTCACGTGCCATATATATTACCTCTTAGATGGTTTTGAATCTTAACCCATTTAAGTCTTTTATTGGTCCATCTAAAGTCTGACCTAACATATATATATGGTGTCTTTACCCTAACCGTAAAGTGTGTAATTTGTGTGTTCGAAATGAGAAATATGTGTGGCCTTAGTAGAGAGGAAAAATCGGCTACCTTTTTGTTAGAAAACTGATTGTTAACTTTGTATTACTGCTCTCCTTTGTGCCATATTTTCATTTTTTTCTTCTTACCTTTGTGGCTTTAAATCTTCATCGTTATCTTGTCATTTGTGGGTGAGATTGAGGAGCAATCGAGGTGAATATATTGTGTGTGGGTTAGAGCCGTTTGGATTGGTTGTTTAGTAAAGAAAGGTAACGTGAAATTGAGCCCACAATACATTTTTTTTAACGATCATTGGAGCAAGTTTCTGCGACAATTGGTATCGTAGCTTCAAGGTGGTGGATTTGGCTCGAAAAACTGAAGTAAAACTGTTCAAAAAATCGGCTGAAACGAAGTAGAAAACAAATCGCAAAACTGTCTAGAAACTATCCAAAATTCGAGGCTATTTTCGTAATTTTTTGCAAACCCAGAAGGAGTTTGGTGAAACAGAAACCACCAGCGTTACGTGCGGTGGAGGCGCACCAAGGTGGTCGGCATGTGGGACTATCCGTGGTGCGTGGGACCACGCGCAATGAGAGTTATGGTGCGTGAGGGCGCGTGCATAGGATTTCGACGACGGTGTCTTCAAGCAGTTTGTTGCTAGCATCATTTCTAACATTTTGGTATTGTTAGTTTTCTGTTTTAAGTTATACGATAAAGTTTGGAAGAATTTATTCTTTGCGCGTTCTGGATTCGATCGTGGTTGATTGATTCTTGTGATTGTTGGAGATTTAAGTAGCATCACAGCCTCGTCGCCGAAAAATAATTCTGAAGACACACTACTACTGCCATTTTTAGCAAGAAGATCGGCTGCCATACTGGCCTCTCTGAACACGTGTTGGACTTTGGCATTAAGTACTCAGATCAGCTCCAAAACTTCATCCCAAAAATCCCATACCACCATAAAGAGCAGGCGCCTTTGTGGATC